CTGCCACTGCCTTGTGCCTGGCCACTCTAGGCCTGGCCGTCGCTGTTCCAACATTCTGTCCTTTTTTTTTCTTTTTAAAACGCATTTATGTTGCAATGTTGGCTGGTGGGTTGAGTTCTGACTTAGTCTTTGATTTTTCAAGATCTTCTTTGTATTCTTTCTTAAGTAATTTTACTATTTTTTGCTCTCACTTGATTTCTTCACATTGAGAACTTCTTTGGTTTCTTCCTCCTTGTCCTGGGAGCTCAGCAGGTTGGCCTGTGGCACCCCTTTGTTCTCTGCGGGCTCCTGTGCTGCTTCAGCCTGTTGCCGGGACGGCAGCGCCGCCCAGGAAGCAGCCCCCGGCCTTGGCTCCATTGCCCGAGCTCAGTGGTCAAAGGCTCAGGGGCACCCACGTCCCCAGGGGCCCCATGGCCCACCTCCTTGCTGGTGCCCGGTTGGCTGGAGTCCGGCAGGGGCTTCCGCTCCCCTCCGCGTTCCCCCAGCCTAGAGCTTTTTTTTTCTCCTTCCCGCTAGGGAAGTCCAGCATCCGAGTCAACAGACTGTCCTCTGCGCGCAGTTTGCGCGAGTCCCACAGACTGTCCTCTGCGCGCAGTTTGCGCGAGTCCCACAGACTGTCCTCTGCGCGCAGTTTGCGCGAGTCCCACAGACTGTCCTCTGCGCGCAGTTTGCGAGAGTCCCGGGGGCCCGGCCTTTCGCCGCTCTTCCCGGACTCCACCTCACAGCCCCGTCTCCCTCTGCCTGAGCCTGGGTCCCCAGGGATTGGCCCAGAACTGGGGGGTTCGGAGCAGTCCAGACTGAGGCTCAGCGCCGCCGGAGGCCTTGTTTCTTCCGGCTAGGGCAACCCAGCATCAGAGTCAACATTCAGTCCTCTGCGCGCATTGCGCGCGACTCCCGGGGCCCTGCCTTTCGCCGTTTTTCCGCCTCACGGCCCTGTCTCCTCCCGCCGGAGCCTGGGTCCCCAGGGTCTGGCCCATAACTGGGGCTCAGCGCTGCCGGTTCGGGGGGGCTCAGCGCTGCCGGTTCGGGGGTTCAGCCCAGGCTGGGGGTTTTATTTCCTTCCTGCTAGGGAAGGAAAGGCGGCTCCCCGCCCTCTCCTCCTCTCCGGCTGCGACCTCTCCGTGCATGCGTGCGGGCGGGCAGGCGCGCGCAGCATGTCTCCGTACCTTAGGCTTTTTTTCAGCTCCTCTGATTTTCTTTCTGGTTTTCTCTTTCCTTCTTGTTGTAGAAATTTCAGTCAGTCGACTACCTGTAGCTCTGGGCAATGTCCACTCTACATTTTAGTTGTATTCCATTGAAATTGTTGTGTGCTGCCGCGGCTAGATGTCTACCCGAGCAGCCATCTTGGATCCTTTCTCGCTGTACTGTTTTGTATTCCCACCAGCAATAGATATGAGCTCATTTCTCTACATCTGTGTCAGCATTTGGTACTGTCTTTGCTTTTTATTTATAAGATGTAATGATAACTCATTGTGGTTTTAGTTTGCATTTCCCTAATGGCTAGGGATGTGAAACAGCTGCTATTCATGTATTTACTAGAGGCCTGGTGCACAAAATCCATGCATTGGGGGGGATCCCTCAGCCCGGCCTGTGCCCTCTCACAGTCCGGAAGCCCTCTGAGGGGTGTCCCTCAGTTGGACATCCTTAGCGCTGCCATGGGGCAGGCAAGGCTCCCACCACCGCCACTGCCCTCGCCAGAGTGAGCCTGGCCACCAGGGGGCAGCTCCTGTATTGAGCATCTGTCCCCTGGGGGTCAGTGCACTTCGTAGCAACTGGTTGTCTGGGGTTCAGTTGATTTGCATATTACCCTTTTATTATATAGGAGGATTGGCCATGTATCCTTTTTTTATTTTTAAAATATATTTTTATTCATTTCAGAGAGGAAGGAAGAGGGAGAGAGAGAGAGAAACATCAATGATGAGAGAGAATCGATTGGCTCCCTCCTGCACTTCCCCCACTGGGGAACGAGCCCGCAACCCAGGCATGTGCCCTTGACTGGAATTGAACCTGGGACTCTTCAGTCCGAAAGCCGACACTCTATCCACTGAGCCAAACCGGCTAGGGCGGCCATATATCCTTCTTAAGTGAAATGTCCATTCATGTCTTTTGCCCATCTTACAATTTGATTGATGCTTTTTTTTATTGTGGAGCTTTGACCATTCTTGCTATATTCCAGATGCTAATTGTTTGTCAGATATGTGACTTGCAAATGTTTTCTTCCACTATGGCTTGTCTTTTCAATCTCTTATCTGAATCACAGTGTACATTTTCACTTTTTGTGAAGTCCAGTTTTTTCAATTTTATGGTTCATGCTTAGGTGTCAAGTCTAAGAACACTTTGGCCGTAGGTTTTAGAGATTTTTCTCCTGTGTCTTCTACAAGTTTTATAGTCTTACATTTTACATTTAAGTTCGTGATTCATTGTGAATTAATTTTTGTATAAGAGGTAAAGTTTTAGGTTAAGGTTAATTTTTTTTTTGGTCTCTAATGTCCAATTGTTCCAGTAGTATTTATTGAAAAAATTATTCTTCTTTCATTGGTAAGGCCTTTTATTTTTATACACCCACCATGCCATTATCACACCGGACCAAACTGACAGGAATTCTGTATGTTGAGTGTTTTTAAGATGTCTTAGCTTCAGGACCCAATAGTTCCATACATTGCATTTGGTTGTAATGTCTCTAGAGTCTCTTTTTCTGTAACAATCCCCCAACCACATTTATTGGTAAGACATTAATTTGTTGGAAAAACCAGGTCATTTATCCTGTAGACTGTTCGGTGGTCTAGATTTGGCTGCTGTTTGCTCATGGAATCATTTCAAAAAATATATAGTTTTATTGATTTCAGAGAGGAAGGGAGAAGGAGAGATAGAATAACATCAAAGATGAGAGAGAATCACTGCACGCCCCCTACTGGGGATCTAGCTCACAACTGGGACCCTTCAGTCCTCAGGCCATCCACAGAGCCAAACCAGCTAGGGCCTCATGGCATCATTTAATCTGATCCACTTCCCTCGATATTTCCTGGTACTGGTGATTAGTTCTAGAGGCTGGTTTCAATCCCAGTTCACTTTTTGGGCAAGGGTCCTTCTTAGGAGGCGCTGTGCGCTTCCCGTGCAGGCAGTGAGGAGGCTTAACACTCCCAGTGCCCCATCGTAGTGACATTGATCTTGGCTGGGTTCGCCTCTGCAGCCCAATCCATCCCTTAGCAATTTCCCCGCCAGCCTTTCACCTGGTGGTTTTACCATCCACTGAGGACCAGGTCTCCATCCATTGTTTGTACTAGGAATTGTAAAATGGTCCTTTTTTATTTTATTTTATTTTGTGTCCTTGTATTAAGGGGACTTATGTAACGCAGAACAACCCCCTTGTCAATTATGTAGTTGAGGGAGGCAGCCGATCAGTGATTCTCTCTCATCCATGTTTCTCTCTCTCTCTCTCCCCTCCTCTCCCCTTCCTCTCTCTCTGAAATAAATAAAAACATACTTTAAAAAAGAAACTGATAAAAAAGGCAATACTGCATCAAGTACTTTGGGGGGATATTATGAAAACCTTCACATCATTCCGTGCTACCCCAGGAGACTGCAAATCCAAGTCTAGGTGATTTTTCTCATTTCTCAGTTGGAGATGTTACTTCCTTCAAAGTTGCTGTGAGAGGAAACGAGAGATTATGTTTGGGAAAATGATTTGTAAGCCACAGGGCACGGCGCAACAACATGGCGGCGTGGGTCGGCCACAGAAGCCTCCGGCCCTGTGGCCACCCTCCCTGAGCCTCCCTTCCTGTGAGGACGGCCAGCTGCGCTGGGACGGGCCCTGTCTGCAGGGGCTCCTCTGACTCCTACCGGCCTGGGGAGGCAGCGTGTTTATAGGACCTGCGTTTGAGCGCTCGCTCTGATTTGGGGCAGGTGCCCCTGAGCGAACGGACTTCTTGTGAACGGGTGACCTACATGAGGGAAGCGGGAGAACACTGAGTGTCCAGTGTCACCCTGGGGCTAAGAGGGAGGCTCTTGAGTGTGAGTGACAAGGCCCCGGGGAGAGGCTGGGCCTGGAGCTGCTGGTGCCCCCTCGGGTGGGCAGGTCCGAGCTCAGAGTTGGGCCTGGCTGGGGAGACGACCCAGGGCCCTCTCGGCTCTGCCTTAGAGCAAACAGCCCTGACACACGCTTGCTCAGAAGGTGAGGCGTTAGGAGTCTTTGTACCACTCCCTCCCATCCCCCTTCGATTCTCCTTGGTTTGTCTAATTTGGGATGATAGGCAAAGATGATTTACAACCCAAGTCTCCTCGTTGTTTTTAATTTTATTGATTTCAGAGTGGAAGGGAGAGAGAAATATCAGTGATGAGAGAAACTCATTGATTGGCTGCCTCCTGCACGCCCCCTATTGGGGATCGAGCAACCCGGCCGGACATGTGCCCTGATTGGGAATCAAACCATTGAGCAACACCAGCCAGGCCCAAGTCTCCTTTTTTAAGGACTATTTCTGGCACTGGTTTTCAATTTTGCAGTCATTCTTACAGGAACTATTTATTCTTAGACTTGTCACTGTGTCTCTTTTTCAAAGCTTGTCACCAATCTTTATATAGACAGTTTCATTTTTGAGTTTCTTTATATAGATATCTTCTCCATTTGGGTTTCTAGTCTAGATACATCTCCTTGTCGGTGTGATAGAGATAATTTATTTTTACAGGAACATAGACATGTAAAGGGCTCTCAGGGGTGAAGCTTACAGCTAAGCGCACGGTGTGGATGGTGGGAGAGGATGCGGCGACATTGGGGAGGATGGGGACAAAGCCGGGAGCGTGGGGAGACACCCACAGGCCAGGCTGCGGGCCCACTGCACCCAGGAAGGCCCAGGGAGAGCTCCTGTCAGGGTCAGCTCGGCTGAGGATAGCCGCTTGGACTTGGAAGTTGTGAGAGGGAGGAGGCTAACACTGTGGTTTCCTCTCTCCAGGCCGGCTCCTTGCTCCTTCCAGGCTCCTCTCAGGGAGCCCCTGTGGCCGGCACCATGACAGTAAGGGGGGCCGCACTGGCCCCAGGCCCGGTGTCGCCCACGACAGCAGCGGCCTCGCCCAGCGTCTCCGGGATCCCCGAAGGCAGCCCCACGGCCATGGAGCAGCCGGTGTTCCTGATGACGACCGCCGCGCAGGCCATCTCCGGCTTCTTCGTGTGGACGGCGCTGCTCCTCACCTGCCACCAGGTACCGGCCAGGAGCCCGACCGGGGCCGAGGTTCTGAGCGGTTTCTGGTCCGAAAGGTGTTAGTGAGGCGCCAGAGTGCAACAGCAGACGGACCCTGCTCTCCGAGCTCCTCTGGAGAGGGGATGGCTCACCTCCCAGCCCAGTGCCTTCCGGCTCCGCCTGTAGCTCCAGCATCCGGCAGCTCCAAGCATCACCCATCTGGGCCCTGGGAGGAGGATCACGTGGGCAGGCACTCTGGGAAGTTTACCTTTCCGGATCCAGAAATGACGCTTTCTGCTCACTGTCCCTGCGTCAGAACTGGTCCGTGTCCATCCTGAGCTGCAGGGGCCCAGGACTGTGCGTGAGCACCCTTCGCAGATGAGAAAATGGGGACCCAGAGAGGGAGAAGGGGGAGGACTAGCCTCTTTCCTTAGTCGTTGGCAAAGTTGGGGTAGAAGCCAAGTGTCCCGTCCCCCGTGCTCACAGGCCCAGAGGAGCCTGGTGTGGCTGAGACGGGCCTCGGCTGCCTGCGCAAGGAGAGGGCGGAAGGTTCCAGCAAAGACGGAGGCTGAGCTCGCTCAGTGCCCTTTCAGCCCCTCTCCGCTGCCCTGCGTCCCCTCCTTTCCAGAGCCCAGTGGCTTCCAAGGCAGCTGGCTCCCTGCAGACGGGAATATTGTGTTCTTTTCCTCCCGAGCCCCTTGGCCGGGCCAAGTGTGAAGTCATGAGGCTGGGATGGGATCCTGGCCGGAGCAGGCCCTGGCAGTGTGTGTAGCTTTTCTTTCCTGCTTTCTACAAACCGCGTTTCATTCTCCCAACCGCCCGGGCAGCAGGAGCGTGGCCTCTGCTCCCTGGGAAGTCAGACGGGACGAGCAGCCGCTCGCCAGGGAGTGCGTCCACCCTGCGCAGAGTGAGGCCCCGTCTGCCCCTTCGGCCCCGTCTTACGTTAGGGAGAGGGTGGGGCACTCGTGGGCACCCACGCCTGGCCTGTGAGAAGCTCCAGGGACTAGGTGTTCAGAAGGTAGGGGGTGGGGACCACACTGAAAGCCTCTTGCATCACACGAGCCTGGCTGTACCTCTGGTTACAGCCGGCTCCCCGGCTCGGGTTTGGACAGCCTCGGGTGTGGACGCATGCTCCTGTGTCTGTGAGGCCGGCCTTGGTGCCACCGCTGCACCCCACAAGCTCTCTGCACCCCGGGGTCTGATGCTCGCAGCAGCCTCACCCAGAAACTTCATCAACCCATTTTGCAGAGGAGGCGGCTGAGGCTTGGGGGGGGCGGGGCGGAGTAATTCGGTCACAGATCTAGAAAATGGCTGAGCCAGACCCCTCGGCCTGCCGCCTCCTCCCTGGAGCGGAGGGGCGGAGGGCAGGGGGTGGGGGGTGGGTGACGAGGGGGCGGAGGGGCGGAGGGGTGGGGGCGGAGGGGTGGTCGGACGGTCCGCTGATGCTGCCCTCTGCCCGCAGATCTACATGCACCTGCGCTGCTACAGCTGCCCCAACGAGCAGCGCTACATCGTGCGCATCCTGTTCATCGTGCCCATCTACGCCTTCGACTCCTGGCTCAGCCTCCTCTTCTTCACCAACGACCAGTACTACGTGTACTTCGGCACCGTGCGCGACTGCTACGAGGGTGAGACGTGTGGAGGCCCTCCCGGGGGCACCCCTCCCGCCTGGCGTCTGGGAGCCTCGGGCCCCTTCCTGGTTTCTCCTCGAGGGGCCGCCCCTCCACTTTACCCACCGTCAGGCCTAGAGGGACAGTGACAGCACAGCTGTGGCCAGTCTCCCCCTCAGATGCCCTTTGCGAGGGGGCTCCCAGAGCAGCGTCACAGACCCCAGTGTCCCCCCTCTCAGCTCTGTGTCAGACGGGTGCACAGGCAGCAAATGGGGATCCGTGTAGCTAGGATCTCCAGGTGCAGGTGGTTGGGGTTTCTCCAGGGTCTGTGGTGTGCGGGCAGCGCTGGGCCTCCCTCCCCTGTGCCTTAAGTCTGAGCGCTCTGTCCCTGCAGGCGCTCTGCTGCCACCCAAGAAGGTGACTCGCTGCCTCCTGCGGCCTCCGATCTCGCATGTGACGTGGGAGCATCACCAGCTCTGGTGCCGAGTTCCAGGCCCAGGCTGGGCCCTGGGCCGCCGCCCTCCCAGAGCCTGAGCCACCTGCAGCCACCGCAGGGCAGGTGGCCTCTGGCCTGAGGCGTGGAGAATGAGCCGGTGCCATCAGAGGGAGGCCGAGGAGCAGAGTCCATTCTGGGCCGCGAGGAGAGCTAAATTGAGGGGAGGGAGGAGTCCCCGTGTGCCCAGCCTGGGTGGGGAGCCGGGGGCTGGAGGAGGGATTGCGCCGGGAGGCAGGGACAGGGACATACACAGCCTTGCAGGCCACACAGAGAAAGCCAGATCTTTCTTACTGTTGATGCATTAAAGCATGATGCGAAATTGCAGGCTCCAAAGCTCTCTACATGGATTGTGGGTGACGGAGGGGCCAGAAGCCCAGGACAGGCCACAGGCCAGCAGGTTGAGGAGGAGGGGTCTTTGGATTCAAGATCCCTTCTGATGCTCGCCCCCTCTCACAGCCGTGTGTTCCCCGTCTCCTGCACCTGCACTGCTGTTCCTGGTAAAGTGACCAGAAGCATCTTTTCTTGTGCTGTGACCAGGCAGCTCTGACCGTGACCGCTTGTCAGCCTCCCTGGCTGGGGAGAGCTTGGTCCTTGGCCCTGGGCTTCATGCTTATCCCCCGAGAAACTGGAGTCTGTTTCCGTCCCGTTTTGAACCTGTGTGTCCCTGAGCACTCACAAGGCCCAGGAGATGCCTTTGGACTTGGTGAGGAAATTCCATGCCTAGCACACTGCACCCACCTGCCCCTTCAGCCACACTGGTCGCCTTTCTAGCCTGGGCACGGCGGGTGTCTGCCCAGTGCCCGCAAGCTCTGCTCTGCCGGCTGCTCCTCTTCCTCCATCTGGACCCTGTGTCCCCTCAGAGAGGCTTCCCGGCAGCTCCACTCCCAGACTCTGTGTGCGGTGAAGTGCGGTTCGCAGTGAGTGCTGGTTGGTTCTCCCCTCCTGAGGGCAGTGCCAGCAGAGCCGGGCACATGGGAGGTGCTACCCGTTCTAGAAGTTTGAATGAGGAAGGGACTTGCTATGAGCCTTGCATTCATGCAGCCTCGTTAAGTCCCTGGTTGGTGTCCCTGCCTTGCTGCCAGGGAGGGTGCCGAGGCGGGGGGGCTCCAGAACCCCCAGCGAGACCTCTGGACCGGGGAGCCACACAGGTTGGGGGTGGAGAAGGGGCAGCCGAGAATCCTTTCCATTCACCTGCAAGCCCCGCATGGCGCAGCCTCTGCTTCTTGTTGGTTCAGAATAAAGAAGCTGTGCCTGCCAGGGGAGTTCCTGTGGTGAGGGGCAGGCCCTGCAGCTGGGTGCACGGCAGAAGGGGCACAGCCAGGGAGCCTTCGCATGGCCCTCACTCCGGCCTCAGAGGCAGCAGCAGATGGTTGGCGGCTCCTCCCACTCTTTGTTCAGGCCCTGCCTGGCCAGTCCTTCCTCCCAGCTCAGAAAAGGCCGCAGGAAGTCCGCATCTCCTAGCAGCGCGATTGTCCCGCCCCTCCCAGGCAGTTTACAGGCCACCAGAGGCCACGCGCTCGGGCGTCCGCGAGGGTGGCGTGCCCTCGCCTCACCCTTTCCCGCACCTCCGCTCCGCGTCTGGGACCCTCTCCCTTCGTGTTTGTGCTGCAGTGCTGAGCTCCGCAGGGCCTGCCCCAGCAGGCGTGGTGGTGGCGAGTCCCTTACAGCTCAGAAAGCGGCCCCATCGGCTCCTCTTCCTCCCAGACTCCCAAGACGGGAAGGCAGGAGTGGCCGGACGGCCGAGGACCTCCTACTCCACTGGCCATAAGGCGGCATTTGCTTTTCTTTTTAATAAAATTAAAACAACTAGCGCTTTACTTTCATTAAAGTCACACGTGCATAGGGGTGAAACAGGCTGCCCCAACTCCTCTGACTCCCACAGTCACTGCACTTGCAACTCTTTTTTATTTTCATTGTTTTTTTAAAATCGGGATGATCATCTAATCAACGGAGCTACCCGGCCAGGGCCACTTTCAATTCTTTAAACTTTCCCCCTGAACAACCTACAAACGTGCGGCGGCTGCCGTGGATGGCTCAGTGTTCCGTGGTGTAAGTCTTCCTCTGGGAGCTGGGACTGAGGCGCTCACCTCCGCGTGCACACCCACACGCTCTCCTGCTCCATCTCAGACGGGACAGGCGTTTCTAAGCCACAGCTCGTGTTTGCGGTGCTCCATGCGGTAACCGTGGTTCAGAGCTGAGCCTGCTGGGGTCTCAAAGTGACACTTGCTTGTTCGACTGCTTTTCCTCCGCTTGCCACTTGCCGTGCTGTTTGGTTTGCTGCTTCCTATGTATCTGTCATCACTTTGTTCCCTAACGCTTCCTCAGATCAGAAGCATGCCTTCTCTACAGAGAGGCACACACCTCTTCCCGCTGGGTTTTCTCCGCGCTGCTCCTGCGCCTGCCCCGGCTCTGGGCGGGGGCTGGCCCCTGGGTCTTCCTCCCGCTCGCCGTCCCGGGAACCATCCGGGAACCCTGCTCCCGCTCCTGTGCTGACCGCCTGGCCCCGGGGCCAGTTTTCCCGGTGAGAGCGCGGCTCCCAAGGGGCTTCCTGAGGAGAGGGGGTGAGGGAGTTCAGTTTTTTGAAACCTGAAAATTGTCTAAAGTACATATGATATTGTTTTTGTTTGGTTAGTTATCAATGGGAGTACAATTCTAAGTTGGAAATTATTCTCCCTCTGAATTTTGAAGGCGTGTTTTTCAGTCTTTTCGCTTCCAGCATTGTTTTCAGAAAGTCTGCTGGATTCTGATTCTCTCTCTCTCTTTTTTTTTTTTTTTTTTAAATTGAGAGAGAGGAGAAAAACATCAATGTGTTGTTTCTTTGGTTTATGCATTCATTGGTTAATTGTTGTATGTGCTCTGAGCAGGGATGGAACCCACAACCTCGGCATAGTGGAGCGACGCTCTAAATAACTGAACCACCAGGTCAGGGCTGGATCTGATGCTTAATGTCTGCATGTGACCTGCTTTCCCCCTCGCTTTCAGGATCTGCACCCCAGAGTTCTGAAATCTCAAAGGAGGCGGGATATCCATTGTGTGGGTGCCCGGGCCCTTCACTGAGTGCTGAGAAGCCGTGTCCTGAGTGCTGAGCGATGTTCGTGCATGTTCCTTTGCTAGCCTCCCCCCCACCCCCCCCTTCAGTTTATTCTCCTTTCTGGAATTCCTGTGAGTAGGATGTTGCACTTCTGGATTGACCTTTAAGTCTTCTTTACGTTTTTTTTTGTTCTATTTCCCAGGAGCTTTAAACTTTTACTTTAAATATTTACCCTTGAGCCTTTCTACGGAAGGTTTTGTTTTCTTTATCATGTTGTAAAGCGTCAGGCGCTCTTTCCGTTCCATTTTACAGTCCCTTGTGCTGGTGTTGGAGAGAGTATCTCCCTCCCCCGGACGCTGATTGCAGTTTTCTTCTGTTCCCTGCATTATCTCTGTCTCCGGACTGCCCTGTGTGTTTGTCTTGGCCTTTGACTTTTGTGTTGGAAGCTCCCCTCAAATGCCAGCCTCCCCGTTGGGTGACAGGACACGGCTTTCCTGTGCCATTTTTATGCAGTGGTGGGGACAGGTATACTAGATGAAGATTTTTATTTTTATTCTGGGCCTGTTTCCCCAGATAATAATGTTCTCTGGGTAGTAAAGGCTGGGCGAGCTGAGGTAGGGGTGCAGTTGGGGGAAGGGACCCAGGCATCTCGCCCTTTGCACTCAGACCTCATCTGTTTGCCGCAGGTGTGCTCATTGCTGCCCTCACTGAGCTCAGTTCTCGGAGAGGCGCCGTCCCCCTCTCCTGGAGAGTAAAGCCGTGTGCAGACTTGCAGCCAGGTTTTCCATTTGCACCTTCACCCGCAGGCCGGGGGTCCGAGGCTCTCATTAGCCAGCTCCCTCTCCTCTGGTCAGTGAGTCAGTGACCACTCAGGCCCGGGGTCCGAGGTTCTCATTGGCCAGCTCCCTCTCCTCCGGTCAGTGAGTCAGTGACCATGCAGGCCCAGGGTCCGAGGTTCTCATTGGCCAGCTCCCTCTCCTCCGGTCAGTGAGTCAGTGACCACGCAGGCCCGGGGTCCGAGGCTCCCATTGGCCAGCTCCCTCCCCTCCGGTCAGGGACCGTGCTGACTATTCTGCATCTTAGAGCTTTGGTTAGCATTGCTTGTCGGCTGCCTCCAGTGCCATCTCCTTGTCCTTGAAGGCTTGTACTTTTCCACCAATTCATTCTCATCCTAGAGGCATTCTGGGGGGAGGGGAGGAGGAAGAGTGGAGATAAACAGCGTGGATGGGTGGTGATATTGCCATTTTCCAAGGAGAGGGCCAAGTTTCAGAGAAGTAAATGGCTAGCTCAGGGTCCCTCTGATCGAGTATCTGCCATCTGGTGAGGCTGTAACTCACACCGCAGTCCACATGGCCGCGCCAGGCTGAGGAGCAGCGGAGAAACCAGCCCCCTTCCTGCATTTAGTGATTGGGGGCGGGGTGGGAAGGAGCTCCTAGAGACAACACTGAGACAGCCTGAGGAGCTGGGGAGCTGAGACAGCCTGAGGAGGCA